ACCCCCGGGCTGCAGTGCTGTCTTGTTCCTGCTGCATGGGGTCTGCAGACGCCTATGGGGGGACCCAGACCCCTCCCACTTGTACAAATTCTGCTCTGAACAAAATCAGAGTTATCTGGCCCCTGGGAGGAGAATGGAGGTGGGAGCAGAGTCTAGAAGAGACGCAGGCCTCCCCCATTCATTGGTCAATGGTCCCAGCCAGAGCTCTGCATCAGCATCAACATTATGCAGCAGGCAAAGGAGATGAAAGCCACATGGTGGTCCAGACCCAGGGATTTATTCCCAGTGGCTGGGCTAGTCAGCAAGCAGTAACAAGACACACAACTGAGGGGAACAATGGTCAGGATGTCAGCAGATGGAAATGAAGATAAATCTCTGGCTGGCTTTTGTCACAAACCCTCCTGGCTTCAGAGACCTCTGTAAGATTCTGTACAAAGGCTGCTGCCAGTGCCAACACTTATTAAAAGCTGCTGTGGACAGTGCCTCGGGGTGAGGCTGCCATGCTGACCGACTTGGCACCTCTTTAAAGAAACAGGTAATTATAAGTGCTTCCTTTGGTGTATGAGAACATGCCACTTTCTTTTTGATGCAGGACCCTGCTTAGCGCACCTGGTGGGTGCAGAAACAGATCGAGAGCAGGTTAGAAGAGAATCTGGGTCACTTAGCAGCTGTCGGGAGTGCTTGCTCCTATGCACTGCCTGTGGCATTGCAAGAGCAGGAGAGAGACCATATCTCATTCTCCCATGACAGATCAGCCCCTTATCCTTTATTCACTCTCATAAGATGCTATGGTTCTGTTTCCATAGCACAGCAGGTACCCAATCCGTTTACGGCTTTGAGGTCTCAAGGTTGCAAGTGTCCAGTTCCCCTGCTAAGCAGATGACTTGAGGCTCTCGGTCTCCAGTTCCCAATCCAGGCTACCTCTATCCCACATCTAGATTTGGAACAGCTAGTGTTGCAACTTACAAGACAGACAAGCCAAAGAGTAGATAGGGACACGATGCCACAGGGAGTCTCAGTCGGTCCCAGGTGCTGAGTCAGTGCTGGATATTCTAGCAGAGATTTTCACTGGGTTCCTACCCATTGCACAGAGAGAGAAACTCCTGCTCTCCAGGCATCAGCAGGTAGTCAGGAAGCAGCATGCAGAGACAGCAGCAGCACAGGATGAGGAGGCAGAGAGGATATCTGGGCTTTCCTGGTGAGGAGTCACATATGTGCACCTAGGGAAGCAAGAAGGAAGGGTACATAGTTTACCAGGATGGTGGTCACTGTTGCTGAGAAGCAGGATGCATTTGCAGGAGCAGAGCACCCACTCACACTGCCACCCTCCTTCTGGTTCCCATGCTGACTGGGTCTAAGCTGGGTCGGATATCTGCATTGTACTCTCCAGACAAGCCAAAAATGCATGAACAGCTTCTAATTTGACAGGGCATCTTAGCAGCAAGGTGACTTACATCAAGTTGCAAGAACAGAGCAGCTGGCTGGTGCCTTCATTGGAGAGGCTGATCCAACATAATGCCCTGTGTTTGGTAGATCTCTTTCAGCACCAGCAGGACAGTATCTTCCGACTCCCTGGAGATGGAAAGCCTTGGAATTAGTATCCGCACAAGCTAACATTCAGAGACAGTCCACTGCATACCCTCCTGTGTTGAGGCACTGGCTACTACAGGACAGTCCTGTAACTTGCTTGTCTATAAGCAACTTGACTCTGCCTATTCTACCACCCTGTCTTTAAAGCTGCACATGGCAGGTGCATGATGGCCCCAGGGAGCAGATGGAGAGTGCAAGAAGCTTACCAGTAGCAGAGATGGCTTTGCAGGGCGAATAAATACTCGTTGAAGCTCTCTATCGGCTTCTCCTGAAGCACATAGTCGATGCGGTGGCCACCGTTGAGCATTCCCACATTTATAGGAGAGGCCTCTTCCTTCGCAGCAGCAGCAGGGGGCTCGTTGGGCTTCACCTCTGGAGGAATCAACCACAGATGACAGCACTGATTCTGTGGCAGCACAAAATCAGTGCCAGTGCCGTGGCCAGCACCAGCAACAGGAATGAAGCCCAGGCTAGAAGCTGGATGGGAAGGCAATCCACACAGCTCCTGCAAGAGGAGTGCCACACTGCAGCAGCAGGCCAGAGTGACACGACTGTCGCCTCCAGGCAGCATGAGGAAAAGTGAAGGTTCAAGATGCTATTCGTGCTCTGAGCACCAGAAAGCCCCTCCTCACCCAGGTAGCGTGATCACATGGCGTGGGTCAGAGGGCAGGTTCCTGGGGGAAAGGGGCCTTGCCTCATGCTTTCACAGCATCCAGCACATCCAGGTTCTTGGGCAGTAGGAACAGAAATGCAGTAGCAACAAGGCAACCAACCCAACCTTAGAGGACCAGGGAGCCAGATGGCCACAGGCCAATTCATTGTCCTCCCTGGTATCCCCCTCCACAGCAGCATGTCCCCCCTGAGCATGGC